TAGTTCTTTCTAGCTGGCCATTTGATCTTCAGTATGCAGCCAACAAAGTGGACAGATGTTCATAAAACTCTTTAACGTATTGAAAATCCCTTTCGATATACCCCAACTTTCTGACCTATATAGAAGAACTGACTTCACATTTGTGTTGAAAATCTGAATCTTGTTTTTTTACGTTGCGAAATGCAGTAGCAAATTTCTAAACTGGTTTCGACTTGATGAAAACACTATATAAAAAACTTGACTAATTATTGTGAGCTAAACTGTCACTAGCAGATTAGTAAATCAAATACCAAACTTTCTAGTGTTACAAGTGTTAATGAAACCTGCTTCCCTGGTTTCAATACAAATGATGTTCTAAAATGTCTCCAGTCTTTGAAATCTGCTTGTAGCCTAGGTCCAGATGGTTTGCCTAGTCTTATTCTTAAAAAGTGTGCAGATATCTTGTGTTATCCTCTCATGGACATATTTAATGAATTTTTTTCCAGAAATGTCGTGCCAGCCGTTTGGAAGGACAATGAAATTGTATCTATACCTAAGTCGTCTACTGGAACATGTTTTAAATTCAGACCTATTGCTATTACCTTTCCTTTTCTAAAAACTATGGAAAAGTTATTCTTAATTAATCTTCAACCTTCACTTAAAGTCTTTAACGATCCCAAACCATTCGCCTATAAACACAGTAGAAGTACGTTAGATGAAGCTGCAGTCTTGTATCATAACAGTGTCTCCGGCTTAGACAAGGGGGCTAAATTTGTTCGCTCATCTGCTTTCGATTCAGTACTTAGAGACATTTTGTTAAACAAGCTTGCTGAAACTCAAACTGACTGTGTGGTTGTCAAATGGCTGCATTCTTATTTCTCAGGAAGAAAGCAGTACACTGTATGCCAGGGAAAGTCGTCCACTTCGTTGCTTACTGAGGCTGATATCCCTCAAGGCGCTGTCATTTCTCCTTTTCTGTTTTCTTTCTTCTTGCATGACTTACCTCACTCTGATGAAATGAACTTTGTTAAGTATGCTGATGATCTAAATGTCTGTTAACTCCCAGCTGTAATGTACTAAGATGAACAGCTTTCTATCAGGATTAGCAAATTATCTTCGTCTAACGGCATTAGACTACATCCTTTCAAATGTCCGACTGTTAATTTCAGTTTCCGAAGTAAACAAAAGCTAAATGAAGCCGTTAGTTCCTATGTCCCTTGCAAAATTGATGATACTGATATAGAAACCAAGTCTGAAGTTAAGTATCTTGGATTAATTCTTTCTTCCGACCTATCCTGGTTCCCCATGTCTTAGCGATTTCTAAAAGAATATTTCGTCTAACATTTTACATTAAGAAGTTGAGGTACTCAGACATAACACAACCACTCCTCTTACAGTTTGTCAACTTGTGCATCTTATCTATTTTTTTTACAGTTCACCCTTATTCTTTACTGGATTGCTTAAAAAAGACCATATCATACTTCGTAGAACTCTAAAGACTGTCAGTAGGACGAGTGGTATTCCATTTGGCCATATTGTTGATATTGTCAGTGATAGGCACTTGATTTCATGCAACAGATTTGCTAAAGGAATTTTGTCAGACTGCGGACATCCACTTTAGCCTCAGCCCCAACCTTGTGTCTCCTCAGGTGAAACAAAAAGTCTTTTCAGAAGACTTTATGCACTTACGTCTAAGTATAAAAATTCCACCATACCATATTTGACGGCACCTATTTTATGTGATGAAAACATTGTCGGAGACGAACTAAATAAACTTCTTTGCACTACTAAATAAGCCATTTTCTCCATCCTTATTCCACCAACCTTTATTGTTATTGTTCTTCTTATATTCGTAATCCTCTCAATTTTTTGTCTTTGTTTATTTTTTTTTCATAAGTGTGAAGATCATTTAAGCTGTGTTATAACTGTTAATTTTGTATTTCCCCTCACTGTACTATATCAACAGAACATTAGATTCAACACTCTATAATAACATGCTGAAATTTCCAAACTGAATCGACAATAGTGTTTGAAACAAACTCACTGTTATTATTATTATTACTAAATTTAATAATCTCAATTCACGCTTCGAATATTTTTGATTTTATATCGTAAACGTGAACAAATTCCTCTGGTTAATTTTGTTCTAATTTTATTTATATTTTGAGTAAATCAGGTGCAATATTGTGACAAATGTTGAGAATTCCATTCTGTATTATAAGTACTGTTTTTGGAATAAAGTAGATTATTATTATATTACCGAAGAAATGCTCTATACTGGTTTATAATATGGTCGGTGATAACGTGTTTAAGCGTACTGTGTTAAATATGACGGAGAAGACTATAGATAGGGTTGTGCGGCTACATAGAAATGTGTTACACATGACGGAGAGTAGTAGTGATATTAAGACGAAAATATGGCAGTAATCAATGAAGTCCTTGACTTTTAGTTTGAGCCCCTTGGGATGTGACGACTAAGTTATAGAATCTGTGGTTGATGAAAAAGCTTAAAATCATCCCCATTGACACAGATGTTTTCATTCCTTTCTATCTTGTAGAACTTGAAAATTCTCATTATGCTTCATGTGAATATTCTTCCTCTAGCATATTTCTGTTTATTTAGTTTCACTGTATTTCTATCGTTTACCTCTATACGTGGTTTTGTAAGATGTTGCAGTATGAACTAATACAAAGCCCTCCAAAGCCTCAGGATGGTCGGGGGTGGGTGCCTTTCGCTGCGGGTTGGCCACTCCTCCGTACACCTCTTGAAATGCTCCCATATGACCGGGCGTCTTACATACCCTCTCCTGAGGAAGTCCTACTCACTGCCTTCACTTGGCGGAGGTGTTTTTCACCGAAGTGAGAGGGCAAAAGCGGATGCCCGGCGCTCTTCACCGGGTTTACTGTCCATTGGATGACAGTCTAGGGTAGATGGCTAAACCCTGATTCCAAACCTCCAACGACTGGCGTATGAAGCTCACCGCCAGACGTATGGACAAAGGGCTTATTGGATGCCCTGGATGTCTGGCCCTATTCAAAAAGCCGTATGAACCGGACTCCGGTCACCGGCTGCCAATGGATAGTGGACTTCCTACTCCACTCCTACTGCCTTGTAGGTCACACTTACTCGTGTAAAGGCTAGAGCTGCACTCTCAAACAGAAGGCCGAGTGATGCTGGGGACATCACTCGTACCTAATTCCCATGAAACTTCATGAACTCTCGTTGCTACAACATCAACCAAATTCCAGTACTGGTCCAACAACGTCGCCTTTGGTGGTTTGGCCATGTTCTGCGCCGACCAGATGACGATCTGGTCAAATCAGTTCTAAATCCCTCGCCATTTCTATCTTGGCGATGTCACAGGGGTGGACAGCTGAAAACATGGCTTGGTACAGTCAAGGCTGATATGGAGTGCCTGAGGCTACAAACCGTCTACGGACTCCGTCTGTGGAACAAGACCTTGCAAAACCTTGCATCAGATTGCTGCACCTGGGCAGCGATGATTCGAGATGTTCATGAAGCCGGCTCATCCTCCCGTAGGAGATAGCCGAAGTAAAGTAAAGTAAGTAATACACTTTTATGCAAAGCTGGTAATTCAGTCATATACTGACAGACTTTCTGGTGTCAACGTAGGACTCTGCACAGATGTGCAGCAGTTCGACCCGCCACAGTCCATGTAGCACACAAAGCAAGAGAAGAGAGACAAATGCGAAACAAAAAGAATATTTATATGGAAGAACACTAAAATTTCATTGGATATGATTAATCATAAGGAGTGGATGCATCTTCTCCACTGAGAACGATTTTTAGTCATATTACCAATTGTCTTCAGATACCACCATTTGTTTTTACAATCCCGAAGACCCCAACCAGTCAGGAAGTCTATATCTTCCCACTTGACTGGCTTAAACTAACTGTTGCGATTAATGTCAGTAAAAAGTTTGAGCATTGTGGAATAGACCAAATAAAGTAAAATTATATTTCAATGGTTTACACACAATGATAAGTTTTGTTATTGGTAATATTTCGAGCAAAATTACTGCAAATGTTTCACACCACTGTTGGAATCGTTTTGTTGTGAATTTGACTGACTGACGCCATATTTTGATTTGACCACAACTAACTGTTTTCCAACGCGATCCACCCTGTGTCAGCTAACATTGCCCGTCGAGGAGGGCGATGGATGGGCATACGTAGCTCATGTCCTAACCATCTCAATGGGTGTACCTTCGCAACCTCGTCGATTGATTTCCCTTCACTACCTAGCGTTTTCATACCTCCTACTTTGGAAGGCCATGTCTCGCTCATAGCCATAAGGGAGGACGGAGCGGACTGCTGAGCAGTACACCCGCCCTTTGGTCGATAGCCGGATCTCACGTCTACTAGACCACAGATGGCGTAAGTTGGCATATGCCAAACGAGCCTTCTGTATCTGTGTGTTGCGAATTCGCCAGCGATCAACCCGCTGGGGTCGGTTGATGGGACTATCCAAATAAATGAAGTAGTCGACACGTTCCACCAACCACTTCACTCCCGTCTGTCTTTAAGCTAGAGGTGAGTCGATATATTCTAATCCTGTAGCATCATCTTACATTTGACGGGAGCGAACAGCATGCCAAACATTCGAAGATTGCTGCTCAATATGTTCAGAAGACTGCATTTTGTCAGCGTTTTCACCCAGTTGGAAGGACTATGTCATCTGCATATTCTAAGTCAACGAGATTATTCCCTTGTAACAAGTCAATCACTGAGTTACTGAAATCAGAGTTAAGTCCATTAGTACATTTTTGATGAAATTAAACAGAAATGGGGATAATGGACATCTCTGACAGATGCCACTGGTTGTCATCACTTTAGATGGCAACTCTCCGTAGGCTCTTACTTGGCTGCATGAGTTCGAGTAGACTGCCTTGATCAGTGTGATGTATTTTCTTGGAATTCCCTTCATAGCGAAACACTGCCGTAGTACTTCCCGATCGATGGAATCGAATATTTCTTTCAGGTCAACAACTATGACGATTTTTGGGTGCCCGTAAGTATGCCAATGTTCCAGAATCTGGAGAAGGGTGAATATATGATCAGTACACCCTCTTCCTGGTCGAGCAGCGCCTAGTCTACGCATTATTATTGAGTCTAGAACTTTGGATACCATATTCGTCAAGCTAATCCCCCCCCTCCCCCGCCATGTGGTTATCATAGTAAGACTTGCCTCCCTTCTTGGATATCGTGATAATCAATGACTTACAGCAGGTCGACGGGACTACCTCTGATTCCCGTATGCTACCTAATACCCTAGTTAACGCAGATTTAAATAGTCTCTACCACCAGGTCCTGTTGCTTCACCTTGTTTCCGACTAGTGACAGCTTTTGTAACCTCACTTAGGGACGGTGTGTACTGGTGTAGAAATATCCGGGAATATTTAGTTGCACGTAAATATTTCTTTCTTTTTTGTTGAATTTGTTATTTGCTTTAGCAAAGAAACTCAATAAGTCAACAATAGCAAATAATTACATTTTAATAGTTTACATTAATTCTTTTGAAGGATACAATTTTACGAATTGTGATGCAAGAGAGAGAGAGATAGATATACAATGGTTGTATCGTGGCAAAAACAACAAAAGAAAGAAAAACACAAATCACGAATTATATAAGATGTTGTGTATACGAGAGAGAGATGAGAGATATTTGTCTAGATTTGTATGAAAATAAATTCAATATTTTAATGCCTAGTAAAGAATTTCCTTTTTTTGTTGCTCTTTCTTTCATCATTTCCAGCCGATTATTACTCAATATCTATCTACTTTCTCATCTTAGAGATAAATTGTCAAATCCTAATTGATTTTTAGGTTGTGTTTTTATTTTTGTCTTACTTAGAATAAAATTTAATGTCTTCTGTACACTTTGTAAATAATGATTATCGTTGAAGAGTTTTTGTTGAACCAGTGGAAATGAATACAAATGTGTTATGTGTATGGTTGAACCTAGATTTGTTTTGTTTTTTGTTTGTTTGTTTGTTTTTAGAATTAGGCAACAGCATTTGAATGCATGTTTATTTCATTAGATAAATGATCTTTGTTATTTGACTGATTCTCGTTGGTTAATTTAATATCAGTATCATTTGAAATAATACTTCCTGGCGGAATTATTGACTTATCTAAATTAACATTGATTTGTTTGAATGCACTTTGTTCTGTAGGATTTAAATAACGATTTGTTCTTACTGGTGAATGTATGCCTAAACGAGGTTGTTGTTTATGGGTTGGTGTTGTTGTAAGTGTATTTTGATAGTATGTTGAAGGTTGAGTTTGTTGGTGTTGTTGTTGTCTGGGTGAATGGTTGTCACTGGTAGTAGAAGTATTTGTATGCGAATCATTCAGTTCCATACCGTTGACTGTCTGATATTGTTGTTGATGGTGATAGCTATGCTGTGGTATTCTGTCATAATATGCATCTGAATTGGTAGTTATGCTGAGTGGATTATTAGTATTACTTCTAGTGTTATTGTTATCAGTACAATGCTCTGTACTACCATTGTATATATCAACATTATTAACCATTCTGTTACCATTCAGTAATAAAGAGGGTGATTCTTTTGAAGGTAGTAAATCACCAGATATTGAATCTTGACAACTATCTGGCTGAACTGATGACATATTTTCAGGTAAATGCTTTTGATTACCATCAAAATACACTGGTTGATTAAATTCCTAAAAATGGAGAAAAAATAGCTTTATTTAGAAGAAAAAAACTTTGGCAGCAGTGTCATAATAGCTTACCATAAAAACATTAATAATTGCTTAAGTATGGATAGCATTTTTATTCATGTGGCATTACTGACAAATAAGTTTAGTTATTATTAGATAGTTGGAGGCAATCGGCCACAGGAAGCCTTCCAACTAGGTTTCGTGCTAGTTGGCACTCACCAGTCAGCAAGGCGTATCTACAACCTTGAAGGAATTCATGTCCCTTCTGAGATTCCAACCCCGCTCCACCCAGTGAGTGGTGCAGTCATAGACGTTACCACTGAGCTACTCAGACTCGCGATTGACTTCATGTAGGACTGTATTGAATACTAACCGGCTGTAGTAGTTTCGGTCTTCTTGGTGCCGGTGGCTTTGTTAGGTTGTCTTGCTGTATCGAGTTCCGGAGCTCACTGATGCTCATCCGCTTCTCTTTGTTTGCAATTCTGATCATGTATATGTGACCCCGTCTCACAGTTACCACGTATGCTCCTTCCCGATTTGGAAGCAGTTTGCATGACCCTGACTCGCATTCACCAGTTTTTCGATTAACTCTATCAGATGCTGCCGTCTCCCGACCCCCCAGCAGCGCTCTAAATAACAGCCTCATCGCTGACGGATCTTGAACGCCATTCAACTGCACAACAGCCTCGAAGTCCTGTCTGAAGATTCATATATCTCCTTCTTCAAAAACTGCAGGGCATAGGCTTTCCATTTGTCGGTAGGCAGCGACACCAAATGTAATAACAGAAGACAAGACACGGAAGCCAGGGTATATCTGTCAATAATCAAACCACTGTTTATGCATCTACAGTTTATGTTCCGTAACCAATCACTGAGTGTGTGATTTGGTTTACATTAAACGACATGAAATAGAATGTCCAAATAGGTATATCACATTCTGTTGCTAATGCCATATTGAACTGTGGGAATATATGAGAATCATATTCTGTTGGAACACATTGTCTGTATTACACCACCGAGTGAAATATAAGGTTTCAAAGGACATTTCTATTTCACTTTGTTCTCGCCAGTCCTTCTTAGCTGAAATGAGAGTCTAAGGTTAGACGAAAACACACAATGAATAACTTGAAAATTCCCATTGAGTCATATAAAAGAAAAGGCGTTCAACGAAGAGTTACTTCTCTTTTCGGCGATATCATTCTCAAGCTGTACAATCGTAAATCCTCTTAGCAACAAAATGAATATTTCCAAAGATTTGTCATTAGAATTGTAAATTTTTAGATAACAGAATTCGTTAAGGGGTTAGAAACTAGAATAAGATTAAATAAGCAATTTGAGCGATGTAGTCTAATTGATGCGGTTGAGAAGAGCTCAACTAAAATTAAAATTGAACGAAAGTCAAGTTTCCAACATTGGTAATAAGAAGTAGAAATTTAATAAGGGATGGGGGAAGAAAATAATGCAATTGAGAAATAAACAAGCAAGAAAAAGACAAAACAAAAATAAAGCATTTGGTGTTAAGATAGGTCAGATCCACTGTGGATTTACTGACTGAACAAACTTCTTTTGTATGCAGAGTTCAGGATTTAACATGTGATAGATGATATCATTTTGATATGCGACGATCATGAAGATGCGAGTCGTCTTTTAGATAGACTTAACTCCGTACAAAAACATATTAGTCTTACATGCACGGAAGAAAGTCGCAACCAGCTAGCATTTTTAGACAAACTTCTGAGTCGAAGAGATGATGGTTCAATAAGAGAATCAATCTACCGATAGCTCACTTGGACAGGACAGTACCTTTATTTTCACAGTTTCTGTCCATTACAGCATAAGAGAGGCTTGGTGAAATGTCTATTTTAAGAGGATTCAATGCATTTGTATGGCTGATGTTATAGACAAAGGAAACGAAATATTGATGGATACTCTTGTTGAAAACGGATAGTCTCTGGAACAAAGTCGCACTATATAAGTCGCCATTAAATTGTAAATTAATAAATAGAGGCTATTTACGAGCAGTCAGAGTCTCAGTTTTTCTCTCTAATGTTTTCATGTTTCTTTATGAAACTTAATCTTATCATATCTTCATTAAAAACGTGTCTTATTTACTTCCCTTATAATCTAGCATTAATTAATCGGTTCATTTTGATTTTATTAGCCTTTATCGACTACTTCCAACTGAACATTTGTTTGTTTAATCATGCTGTTTTTCGTTATTCTTGTTATCATAGATAGCCCCACTTTTTCGCCCTTATTATTGATAGAACCATTATTATTATTAATATTATTATGACTAATTGTACAAATCATATTCACGATCTTATTATCTTATATACAAAACACCATGATTGGTTTATATTTAAATTTTATTTGTAAACTTAGATATATTAGAATTAAGCCTTATGAGATTAAATTGAAAACAATGTTGTTCGCTTAAATGGGTTGTTCTAAAAAATGTTTTCATCAAATTACCATATAACGGGGAAATACACAGAACGATTTTCAGACAAGGGTTGAATTAGATCATCCGTAGAACCTATTATGCAGCCCAGCTTATCATTGTCGAAAAACCTAAAAAAAATGTTCCACTACAAACCTAAAAAGTGCACAAGTGATTATGTCACACCCTACACTATTTACCTATTTTCGTGTGTGTGTGTGTGTGTGTGTGGTCACACATACATAGGAAGGAGTAATCGCGCTTTACATGTGAGGGTGGGACAGCGAGCATATCCCAAATTGGTTAGAAAAGCAAATGAATTGTGAAAAACCAATAGATGCAGGTGTCAGACTACCAACTTCGTCTATCCCTAAACACCTAATCGAGATGAACCATAAGATTGATGTAAACTCAACTTTTAAGGTCACCTACAAAATGGTTAAGGGCGCTTATTGTAATACGCCGAGGCTATATCTATTCATAAACTTAAGCCCCCCTGTGTATTCAAAAATGGTTTATTATTACTCATAACCTACCTTGTTAATCCTTATTTAATTGGATTACCAAACGTTGTGTCAATCATTCTTAAATCCTTATTTTGTCACCTTGTTTAATTTAACATTTTCATATATGTATCGACTTGACAAGTAAATGGGTGATCAGATTGTTCGAAATGTGTAGCGCAAATAAATCACATTATTTTTCAGATAATCTCCGTCTTCTAATAACGCTATCTAAATTGATAAAAGGGACTAAATGTTTTAAAAATATTGGAAGCTTTAATGCAGCTTAAAATTTGAGACTGGATGCATAAGTCGCTGTATTAATACAAAGTTTTAGATCCATTTCCTCCTACTAGCACTGTTCAACTTAAATAAAGTGATATATCACGCTTATTTACACAGGAGTTAGTCACTTTGCATTTTAACTTCCATGCAGCTTTGACTCCATACAGTTATACGACAATGCTGCATGCCAAGTAATCCACAACAGGAAACTTACGGAATCCTTCGAACTGAGGACAGGAGTGAGGCAAGGCTGTCTATTATCGCCAATGATCTTCCTGATTGCAGTAGATTGTATAATGTGACAGACAACGGCCGGGCAACGAGGAGACAGGTATAAAATGGACCCACACAAAAAACTTGGAGGATCTGGACTTCACCGATGATATATATCTGATTTCCCACAAACTGGAAGATATGCAAGTGAAAAGCAACAAGCTGGCAGAAGAAGCATCAAAGATAGAAAGGAGTTCAGGTGAACATAAAGAAAACAGAGGTGATGAAGATTCTTGGCCAACACTAACAGCAACAACAATCAGCGTAGATGGGAGGAACCTGAAAGAAACAACCTCCATTACCTACCTACCTAGGAAGCATCGTCTCAACTACAGGCGGAACTGACGAGGATATCAAAGCCAGAATCGGAAAAGCAAGACAAGCTTTCATTACTCTCAAGTCTGTGTGGAGGTCAACAGCACTCACCATCAGAAATAAGACCGGAATTTTCAACTCCAATGTAAAGTCAGTGCTACTATACGGATCAGAGACTTGGCGCGTCATAAAGAACATCTCAAACAAACTTCAGACCTTCATTAACAGTTGTCTTCGCTCAATACTCAAGATCAGATGGCCAGAAAAGATCATCAACAGTGATGGATCTCTGGGAGCGAACCAACACAGCAGGAACCCATTGTGAAACAAATAGGCAGGAAGAAATGGAGATGGATTGGCCATACGCTGAGGAAATCATCAAGCGACATCACTAGACAAGCCTTTGCTCAAGTGGAACCCGAAAGGGAATCGGCGAGTTGGTCGTCAGTGTGAGGGTGACTTGGAGGAGGTCATATGAAGAGGAGATGAAATCATTTGGGCAGACTTTGAGCGGGGTGACAAAGTTGGCAGAAAACCGAAGGCAATGGAGACGCACAGCTGAAGCCCTATGTTCCTCTAGGAATTAAAGGATATAATAATAATAATGAAAAAATTAGTATATAGCATTTCTACTTACCGTAAGATTTTTATCATTCATTTCAGTTTTTATAGATTTCTCCGATTCATTGATAGACATCACTTGGGATTGGGACACTGCAATATGAAGTTCACTGGTTTGACTAGATGATTTCTGATGATTTTTGTTTACAGTATTTCCGTCGTATTGACTGTTCGACATCACCAAAATTGGTTTACCACTGTTAGATTCATCAGTGTGCTTGTCTGTTGTCTGATTAGTTGTTTTTCTATCGATTGCTTCAGTTTCTTGAGTCAGTTTTAAGTCTATCTGTTGTTGCTCTGGATTATTTTTATGATGATCTGCTTGATCTGATGTCGGTGATGAGTTTTTGGACAGATTCGTTTGTTGTTGTTGCTGCTGTTGAATTTTATTCGCATTAATCATCGACTTTAATTGATCATTTCTGTTTTGATTTAGCTGTTGGTATTGTTGGTGTTGTCTTTGGTGCTGCTGTTGTTGTTGTATTAACTGATGTTGATGAAATTGTTGTAATTTATGTCTATTTAACATTTGATTTTGTGCTAGTATACGATAATAAGCCATTAATGAAGCATTTTGTTCAGGGACATTGAGGATAGGAGAAGGAGAAGATGAGGATGCCGTTGCTGTTGCTGTTACCGTTGTATTCATTGGATTAATAAATGTTGAATATGGTCCACGTATTCCATGAACAGCATATAATTGTTGTTGATTCGGTGAATAGTACTGTTGGTGATGATGTTGATTGTGGTGTTGATATGGATTTCCAATGTTATGCGGTTCAATTAAACGATTTTGGTTATAATTTAAATTATATCGATCATCATATCTCGTAGGCGCAGCACCATTGAATTGAGAAGTTATATTTGCACTCATATGTTGGTTATCTAATTGAAGTTGATTCTTAGGATTGTCTGAATCAGTGGGGTATTGATTTTGTTGTTGTGAAACGGGACTTGGAGTTGATATTTGTAAATTAGGATCAATAGTATCAACACTGGCAGTTGGTGTAGCCTAAGATAAGAAACATTTTATTTAATTATTAAATTAAAAAATAAATTGGCTACTGGTCAAAGTAATCGATTAAAAAAAATGAATCTTTCAAATGTCCTCATGAATATCACCGGTCCTAACACGCAGAGTTTGTAGAAATTTACAGTTTGACCTATAAAACGGTAATCTATGGTCTTTATAAATATTACCAGTGAATAACTAATCACACACACGCACACCAGAATTTTTTCAGAAATATATGAAGAACCATAAAAAAAACAAGATTATTAATAAAAATAACGAAAGTAATATTGAGTTCAAAGCTTTCATAGTACTTTCATAGTACTGTCATATAAAGAAGGAACGTCAGACAAGCCCTACACAGGTTTCTTAATGAAGCTGGAATTAGGGTGGCATGTAAACAAACCAACTGTCTCGGAGATAAACTTTGTCGGTTTAATATATATATATATATAATTTACCAAATACCATGTAATGACTGTAAGGTCAATTTCATGGTAGATTTGGGTCAACTAGATTATCGGAAGATAAAAAGCTATCTAAGACCTATCAAGTTACTCACACGACAAAATAATATAATTTACAAAATACCCTGCAATGACTGTGAGTGAGGTCAACTACATAGGTCAAACTAGTAGGTCGGGGATAATCAGATTGTCGGAATATAAGAATTTAGCTAAGGTAAGAATGGTTGACCCCGAGAAGATGAGTAATTCAGAAAAAAGCTCAGCTATTGCACTACATGCATTAACACACAACCACACAATAGCATGTTGGGAGAGGGTTAAGATTCTAAGAAGTAGTCTAGGTAGGTGGAGAGAGAGATTGATTACTGAATCTTGGTTCATCCAGTCTACACCCAACACGTGCAACAGAAATGACTCAATGCAAATACCAGAAATATGGAAGATATTATTACTGCCAGTCAAATCAGAGGAGGATAGTAAATAATCTCAAATCCTATTTCAGTTCAAGCACATCAAAACATTCTAAAAAGTTACATATTATGACTATAAAAAACTCGTCTTATCTCCCCATCTGATTGTAATTGATCAATAACAATCATTATTATTTCTGAATGTACTTTATCTTATATTGATTTTATTCAAATGTCTAATCAATTTCACTCATGTATATAAATGAAGTAAAAAGTTGTGTGAGTAATTTGATATGATTATGAGCGACAATGTGTGCTTGAAACGTCAGCAATTAATATTCCTGTGTAACACTGTGTGACTTATCAAAAGAAAATCTTATCCATAATGGAGTTATACTCTACCAGCACAGTGCCCATGTTTTATACTTATATCAATGTTAGTTTTTAAGACTAGGAAATAAAACATAACAAAACCTGGTATGTGGTAGATTTGCACCCATTATAATATTTAAAAAATCAGTATAGCGTGATAAGACTAATCTAAGTATATACGACCATTTTACACATTTCACACCACTTTCAATACTGTCCTGGCTACCAGACACCTACATTAGTCACTGTTTAGCTTTCCATTAGTCTATAACAATCAAACCTATAGGAATAAAAAGTCATGGGTTTGTTTGGCACGGCACAAGGCTGTTGTGAAAATTAAAGTTACTATTACTGCCTTCAGGTTTGCAGCTGCGTCCTGTCGTTATGTGCCTTATATTATTACTATTATTATTATTGTTATTATTATTATTGGGTTCCTAGTGAAACATAGGGCTTCAACTGCACGTCTCCACTTGCCACTTCTGTCTTCCTTCTCCTGTACTTTTCACTTGCATCCACGTTAGTCCATACTGACTGTTTCAACTCCTCTTCACACGATCTCCTCCATGTCACCCTTGCACCGACGTCCCACTCGCCGCTTCCCTTTCGGCCTGGTTCCACTCGAGCAATGGCCTGACGCGCGGTGTCACCCGGCGGCCTCCTCAGCGAGTGAGTGTCCAATCCATCTCCACTTTCTCCTGCATTATTGTTGGTTGGCGATTGGTTCTTGTTTTGTTTGTTTCCATTGTTTCTTGTTGGTAATTCTTTCCGGCCCGGTCATCTGATCTTCAGTATAGACCGAAGACAGTTGTTGATAAAGGTCTGCAACTTGATGTGCCTTATAAGTACCCTATAAAGTCGATGAATCACATCAATTATCTAATATTTTTCTTATACATGTTCATCTTACTTTTTATATCAGGAGAATTGAATTGTAATGTTACCTAGCTGATATCAATCAGTTCATGAAGAAATTGAATAGGAGATAAAATGAATTTTCACAAATTGAACTAAACATAATGACTTACTTGCCCAGTTGAAGTATTCCTTGGTGTAAATATTGCATATTTCATACTCTCTCCATCTTCACTTCCGTTCCCTGGCCTACATCTTCCTGGTGGACCTGTAACTGATGCAGCTCTTGATGATGGCCTGGGCAGAAGACAAAAACCACCAACATTATTAAGAGATGAAGCATGATTCATAGCTAAACCAAAGCTCATATTCTCTACAACTGATGCAATTGCTGCAGCTGCAGCCACTTGTGCTGTCACTTGTAAATCTGTTTGACTTGGACTTACTAAACTAGAATAGGATGTACCAGATGCATTACTCCACTGGGAATAATTCGATGGATGTTTTGATGAAGGCATATGAACAGATAAATGGGATCCACGAGGCTCTGCTGGTTGACCAGATAAACTAAGTCTTGAAGATTTTCTACTGCCTTGAAATGATTGTTTAAACTTATTGAATTGACCGACTGAATATAAGTTTAAAAAAAGAATAAAAAAATTTCATTTTATTGTTAACATTCGTGTCAAATATACACAATGGTTTTAGAAAATTCCCCACAGTGATTCCACTTATTGTTTATCAGATGTATCACACAGTGAAGAAACAGTATTATTCACTGGATGACGTTTCGAACAAAATTTATCATTGTTCATAATCATTTCATCAATTATAATCATCACACGACTTCGAAACTTGAGTTTTATACATTTCTTTGTCTTCTCCCATTTGTCGTCGTAGGGGGAGTAGAATTTTCCAGATATCCGGGTAGACAGGTGTTGAATCATTCCTATTACATGTATTTCCAGTTGATTCGATAAACAAAGCTTCTGTTATCAATCTCTCTCTCTCCACCTTGTGACATCAGATTTTAAAACTGTTATCTTATCCCATCACCTTATCGTATGGTTGTGTGTAAAAGCATGCAGTGAGTGCTATAGCTGAACTATTCTCTAGATTTCTTATCTTATTCAGGTCAACTAATCTAGATTTTGCTAGATTTTTATGTTCGGCTAGTCTGACTGCCAGCCTCGCCTAGACTACTAGCTTGCTAATTTTCTTGCCGGTCCCAAGCCGGGATAAAGAGGGAGGGTTGGGGAGTGGCGCTAGCAACTCCACCCCCAAAACCTAACCAAACCGCTACAGAAACTTCAATGCACAGATATATTAAGTATTAAAAGGAGTTGAAACAGTCAGTATGGACTAACGTGGATGCAAGTGAAAAGTACGGGAGAAGGAAGACAGAAGTGGCAAGTGGAGACGTGCAGTTGAAGCCCTATGTTTCACTAGGAACCCAAGGAAACAATAATAATAATGAGTCTGACTGCCTCTGTTCTACTAGTTTGACCTATATATCTGACCTGACAATCGTTCCAGCAGGGTATTAGATTGCAGCGTAAAAAGGAAAGAAGGTGGGAAGTTAAACTCTAGTGTTTACAGGAAACCGACACACTCAAACATATATTTGGACTTCCGATAATCCCATCCTATGTCAGTAAAAATAGGATTGGTAAAATGTTTAAGTGACAGAGCACAAAAACTAAGCAGTACCAAGGAAAATCTAAGACAGGAAGTGATACACATAAAAGAAGCCTTGAAACTTAATAATTACCCTGATAAATTAGTTAGGAAATATGTAAAGAAACGTAAAAATAAAATAAATAATGATAGTAGTGATAATAATAATAATGATAATAGGAACAATAGTACTAACGACATGCATGTCAAATATGCTCAAGACAACACTAACAATAAGGAATCTAAATCATCAGTAGCAATTACATACAAGGAAGGAACCTCGGAAACCTTACGCACAATTCTTAACAAGGCAGGATTGAAAGTGGCTGGCATTCAAACCAACTAAAAACTCAATTAGAAACAAGCTTTGTCGGTTAAAGGATCCTGTCAGTGGAGCCAATAAAACAAAACAGTTTAGTTTATCTAATACCCTGCAATGATATTCAGATCAAATACATAGGTCAAACTAGTAGAACAGAGGCAGTCAGACTAGCCGAACATAAAAATCTAGCAAAATCTAGATTGGTTGACCTGAATAAGATAAGAAATCTAGAGAATAGTTCAGCTATAGCACTCACTGCATGCTTTTACACACAACCATACGATAAGGTGATGGGATAAGATAACAGTTTTAAAATCTGATGTCACAAGGTGGAGAGAGAGAGATTGATAACAGAAGCTTTGTTTATCGAATCAACTGGAAATACATGTAATAGGAATGATTCAACACCTGTCTACCCGGATATCTGGAAAATTCTACTCCCCCTACGACGACAAATGGGAGCAGACAAAGAAATGTATAAAACTCAAGTTTCGAAGTCGTGTGATGATTATAATTGATGAAATGATTATGAACAATGATAAATTTTGTTCGAAACGTCATCCAGTGAATAATACTGTTTCTTCACTGTGTGATACATCTAATAAACAAACTAATAAGGAATTACTTACTACCATAGTGCCCAAGTTTTACACATATATTAATTCCCACAGTGATTTAGCTTGTAATTTATTATTTGCCTTCGTGAACTCACTACTATAACTTGAAGTAAACTTTAAAAGTAGAACATCTATCTATAAGACTGGGTGTGACTAAAAAAAGTAATCGGTAAATAGCTTACTCCACATATCTGGTTGAGTAGTAATAATCATTATTTACCCACTGTAGTAATAATGAAATGTTGAGTATAGGTAATTGTAAGAAGTCGCTAGACAACAAATGAGTATAACTTCGGCTTTTCTTCTCCTTTACGTAGATCTTTATATTTTATTAACTGGCGAATTAGGCTAAAATGTCCTTGGACTTGTATATTTGTAGGAGGTTGAATAGTTAAGTTTATTAGTGCTACATCTGTAGAATGCTCATCAACCACTCATGTGGTTCAGAGTTTGACCACCAGCTGACACACTCCTAAACCTCACTAAGGCGGTAATAAGACCGGTGAAGAGGCAGAACTGGGTATGACGCTAGCAACCCTACCCCGCAAAAATAAACACCACTGCTAGTGAAACTCAAAAGCTGTCGTTTAAAGCTCAATGTTCCACTAGGGGCGTAAAGGAATAAAGTAAATAATAAAAGTGAACAGCTAGAAGAATTAGTCACTCAGATAATCGACAGTTAGTACAATCACTAAAGTGACTGAGTAATATTCGAAGTATATTTTGGACTGAATATGATTGGATACAATAGTTGACTTTTTGTTTTTTAGGTCGAATTTTGAACCACAACTGAAGGAAAATGGATATTTAGTTTCCCCCAGTGTTTCTGTTTAATAGGAAACTCCATAGTTAATTGTTCAACGAAAATAAATTGCTGCCTTTAGAAAGCTATTACGCTGTTATAGGCGTTGATAATGAGATATATGTGCGTTTTAAAAGATTTTTGAATGCATAAAAATACCTGTGTAGTAGTGGGTGTTTTTGCACCACAATAATATTAGGACAGAGATATATTTTGCTGATGCATATGAAAAACAGGCATGGTAGAGTTATTCACTAAAATCCTACAGCTGACTAATGCCTCAGTTTTTCTACAAAAAGTAGAAGACGTATGATTAAAGAGAGCCGAATCGCTACAAGTATTCCTTTCAAGTTTGTTCACGAATTGATACCAGTTAGAGAACCACTGAAAACCAGGGACCGGTTCTCTGATCAAATCGCTACAAACTAACACGTGAACATTAATCTGACGCTCACCAGGGAATGACTGGTGATGTTGTCTGGAGTTCTAGTGCAGAGTTATAACCAGGAGAGTTCACCAGGACGGGCAGCATGGGGACAAATACTCACTGAAGACAATGGCTAGTGGTGGTGCTAAAAATCACAAAATGGTAGAAGTTAAAAATGCATAGACCACTGGGTTCCGTTCCAGTCCCTGAATAGTCAGCGAGCTCACCCTGTAACCAGAAGGTTCTGGGTTCGAAAACCGGTGGGCACGTACTGATGCAGAGTTCGAAACTAGGACGAAACACTTGCTCAGTATTCTCTGGTTTTCAGTGGTTCTGTAACTGATGTCAAATTGTTACCAGACTTGAAACCAAACAAATCCCTACTAACTAACACTTGACAACTACTATTTCTGATAAGTGTGAATCCAACTGGCCGACAAAAGAGGTGTCGTTTATTTGTTAACTATCACACATTAGACAAAGGTCATGCTGTTAGAGGTTAATCATCACCTTCTAACTTTCTACTAGAAATCTGATGTGGAAAGGCACCATGCTAATAGCAGCAAATTTTGGTAGTTCAAAAGTTTCCTGGTGAAAAATTACAAAACATTTAGTCTGTATGAAAAATCTTAATAGAATTCACTAATATCTTTTTATAAAAACTGGACTATATACCTTTAATTTTATCCCGATTCTTCGAATACAGACTCGCATTGTTGACATTGTTACTTTTCTTTGAATCACCACCATTTTCTGAACTCATATTTGTCTCTTTTGATGTAACCATTAGCTCGTTAGGCATATCTGAATTCATTGGATAGGTGATAAGTGAATTCTGTGATTTATGCCGATCTTCATTGGTATGTGTACTCAGATCATTTGTCATTTGTGTACTAGGTGAATAGATTTCAGTACTACCACTGACTACAGAAGCCGCTGCTCTTGCTGCAGCAGCATATGCTTCAGCGAATATTCGACTATTTATTAGATTCATATGAGCACTTTGACTACTACTGGCTACAGAATTACGACTATGCAGTAAAGCAGCACATTCATTATCAATACTACTATTCCCGTCAAATCCGATGTTCATTCCTGAAGAGGCTTGTAAAGCGCTGAAATGTTGAGTTCCATTCAAAGAATTTTCATATCCATGCGAAATAAACGAGCCATTTTTAACGCTTTGTTTGTAAGGGATTTCTAAAAGTAAATGTAATTTCAATAAATACAAGAAAATAATTAGTCCTCCATGAATTATTAGTAAATATCTTGATATATTTAACCAAAAACTTTCAGATACTAAACTTATGGTACAGTTTACATTATCTAAATAGTGCTACAGAATTCATTATCAATGACTTTCTCATAAGTAAGATTTTTTCAGGTTGGCTTGTGAGAATCTAGTCAATCTGTGGATGGATTCAGTAACGAACTGAAACCAGTTACAGGGCTACCGAAATCTATGGAACGCCAAAAAGCTGTTTTACTTAGCTTGAATCTTGTTGCCACTCGGTACCTATAATCCCATGAAATATCATTGTCTATGTGGATATGTTATACCTCATCAAGAACTGGAAATAACAGTTATATTATCTATTTACTGCATTCCTGTATTTCTCTATAACAATCTCTTGTGTAATCAGCTTGAGCGCACGCTTATTCCTTAATTACTCTTCATTTTTTAAAATCTAAGCACTATGCAATCCACATGTAGTAACCATTTGAAATGTGTTCATTAATTTACTTCTTTAATTATCACCCCACAGATATGTTGATACTGACTAATGTTTCTTACAACTTGATTGGTAAACTGCCCTGTATTGTATTAAAAATGCACTGGTGGCACAGCGGTTAGGACTCTTGCCAGCCATGCACATGGTCTGGGGTTCGATTCCCTGCAGACACACACACACCTGATATCAGTGGTCGGCCGGTAAAATTTGGGCTACCGATATCACATGCTGGAAATGCCATACTTTTACCAAAATATGGTGTGTAATCAAGATATAATCATATATATATATATATATATATATATATATATATATATATATATATATATAGTTTTATACAGTTTTTACACAGGCAGTTTAAACAAAATAAATGTATGCATACATTGGTAAAGGAGTTACGCAATAAAGACGAAATATGCGTTAAATACAGAGTGACTAACAAATTAGGTAACAATGTACTGAGTTCAACTCAAATCATAGAAATGAGAGACAAGCAAAGTTACAAATTATAAAAGGGGGTGAGGTTAAAGAGAAAGATTACGTAATCAGATGAGAGGATAAAGACATTCAGTTACCAGAGCAAGAAAAGACTAACAACTGCTTCTTTCTGACACATAAATCTGGTTTCAAGCGTTTGATAGAAATTGGTTCGGCAAAGTTGAGGACGATCGAGGACCTTTGTCTATTGATAATTTTAAAGGATTTCTCGATTTCTACCTCATGACCCGTGTCAAGGAGATGTCTAGTAATACCGCTACTATAAGAGTTTGTTCCCTTGAAACGTAGGCTTTTCGGCACATGTTCAGAAAATTGAAGGTTTGCCCTTCTTTCTGTTCTCCCGATGTAACTGCTCCCGCAGATACACGCAAATTTGTATACACAGTTGTAGTTAACATGAGAAGGGTATCTATCGACTTTTGACTGCACTAAAGATCATGTTATTTGATGAACGGTAACCAACTTAGCTGCAGGATAGGCTCTGGCTAGTGACGTTCTCGGTCTTCTGTTGACCACTGCTGCAATATTTTCACCTTTAAAATCGAGTTGAATGAAGACAGGCTTTTTTCCACTGTGATTTGTTTGGTGTTTGAGCATTCACATCTTCCATATTTGTTAAGGAATCTTTGACGATAACCGTTGTTCTTCAATATCTTTTCAAGGAACTGAAATTCCTCCTCTAGTTTCTCTGCAGAGCATATTCTCCTCGCTCTATAGTACAGAGTTTGGACTAGTGTTCATTTATAACTATTTGAACAATGTATCAAAGTTGAAGTTTAAATAAGAAGATAAATCATAAATTTTATTTAGATAGCATTTCGAGGTTAGTTTCTCGGTGCCTTTATGTAGATTCAAGAGTGAAAGTAGTCTCACGTAAAGTGAAGCAATCAACTATTGTCTTTCAACTGAAATATTCCATTATTATGTATTATATCACTGAAAGCAACTTTTAACCTTTGATCTGTCTTCACTGATCACCTAATCATCTCTTAAAGATAAGACAATCTAATCCTGTTTTTTTCTCAGATTTCGGTTGTTAAAATCACGTTCTAAGACTTATATTTTGATCCCTTTTAAGCTTACATTGTTTTTGTCAAACAAAACTAATAATGCTTTAAATTTTGACTATTGTGTCACGTACACTGAGTGAGTGAGTGAATTATGAACTATGCAAAAATTCTACTCACTGTTGTAAGTGAACAGAGGTTATACTGTGTTGCTCACTAATGAATGATCAATCTGAGTAAGTTTATATTTCAGAATACGATGAAAAGATACATTAATCTTTTTAACCCTTTTCATTCATATCTTACACTTGATGTTAAGCTGCGATTTTAACTTGATCGATAAGCTGAAGAATTTAAATTCGTTTTCGGTTAATGAATTAGAAGAATAAGCATAGACAATAAGCTAGCGGTTTTATGGTATACATTAATTGACAGTCAATAAGAAGACGTAAACGTTGGACTCACGTTATCTAACGTTATCAGCATGATATTCTGGTGATCTTGGGGAAACTCATGTTTAGTTAGCTTATTGTGGTCAACTATTTTACTAGTGAGTTATTTATGTCACTATGTCACCTCTTCTAGGATCCGATGATGTTATCTAGTCAGTTGGTAGGTGTTAACCGATATAGCTAGCCGAAAACTATCCATCATGTTGATTAAAGTAAGCAATGTGACTCTGCTATCCAATACAGTGTTTAATATTACATTTGAAACTTTGAATGTTTAAAGTTCTGATCAAGGCGTGGTTGACTATATTGACAGTGTTACAAGTATGCTTTTAGGCTTCAGTTAAAAAAAGTACATATGAAATAACTTTTAAGAAACAGGAATGAAATTGAATTGACCTTAAGGAGTAAATTTTATTTATCACACTCACGTAAGGGTTGAATCAACTAAAGAATAAGCTGAACTTTTGGAACACATGATCTTTTGATTCTAAGCTTTAAAAAAGAAAAGTACAAGATGCAAAAGCCTTGACCCTAATCATTGAATCAAACACCTATCGAGGTGATTAATCACGAAAAAGAATCACCATTTACACCGTCACCTTTACCTCTGTGGCTGAATAGTATATAAAGGTTTAATATTGTAACATAATTTGATTTGGTTATAATTCCGTATAATATTAATCTTGAAATTTATTTCTACATATATAGTACAGGCCAATTTCCACAAAATACGTGACACTTACTGAGTGTAAATCGATCCAAACTTCTGAATTTCTCGTACAGATACAACCTAAAGAAGATTTCTTTACAAAATGGCAACGGCTAGGGAATCGGTGGAAACCAAAAGAAGCCCTGGATCTCACCACGATTGGAACTAAGGACTTAGGATTATCAGTCGGCTGATCTGCTTGCTTGGCCATGAGATCCATTTGTCGACCAAGTGGTATATTTCTTTCATCCCGTCTAATTACTACGTGCTTCACAAAAAGTATTATTTAATACTTCTTTACAAGTTAGATGAGATTAACTATACACAAAACAATAATGAAAATAAAACACGTAGATCAGCGAAGAGTCTCTTTTCGGCGAGTTCATCTTCTTAGCTGTACAATCGCAAATATATATGTGTTATTTTGTATGTATGTGTATATTAAGTTTGTCAAACAAAATTACAATTGTTCAAGGTTATTTCAAATAAACAGGTGAACGTTGGTAATACAAGTCAAGAAAATTAAGTGTTAATGAAACTAGGGTAGTAACAAAGGTGATGAGTTGTCGCAAACAGTTGTTAAAAGAAGTTATGTAATAATAATATGAATAGTTTGATGAGTGAGTTTTTCTCAGGATGCACATAGGAACAAAGTATATAATACGAAATTACGTAAGAGTTCTAAATGAATATAGGAATTTTAAGAAATTAAAGAACAGGCAGAGAAACAAGATTAAGTCATTAAAATTAAAAAAAATAAAATAAAAAAGTTGTTACCATGACAGTCGAAGTAGTTGAGTAATTCTCTTTTGTATGCACAGCTCCGGGTTTTCTATGTAAATGACCAGAGCTTCAGCGATACAAAGAAGACGATACCATATTGCCTTTGATAGGTTATTCTTGACTCTGTAGATTACTTTGTAGGAGGCGTTTGTTGAAATGCAATGATCACTGTTAACCAAGTGTTCAATTATCGCACTCCTTATTGCACCCCTATTGCCTTTTCACAATCATGCTGGATAGTGTTCTTGAATTCTCTTGGACAGGATGCGCGTCGAACGACCGATGTACCTGGCTCCACAGCAGCAGGTGAACTGATATATGCACATAGAAGTGGCCAGATGCGGGATCTTGTCCTTGAGGCTTCTGCAGATCAGTGGGCAACTGGAGAACACTATTCTTAGCGTTGCTGCAAAGAATGTTTTTCTCAGAGATGATGTGATCCTTCTCTTGAGAATATCGCTTGCTAAATCTCCCTTGAAATCCAAGTTCATGTAGAGTTTCTTTTTAGGCGCAATTAAAGTTTCGTTTCTCCGAATTCTTGGTTTGATATTTTTGTCGATGAATCTTATTGGGTATCCATTTTGGATGAAGATTTCTCTTAGAATATCTAATTCTGTTTCCAGAACGTCGGGACTACAGATGCGTCGGATGCGGGTGGCAAGTGATTTAATTAAATTTCGCTTTTGTTGAATGGGTACCCAGCTATAGAAGCTTGTTAGTTGACCATTCCACGTAGGTTTTCTATGGATTGATCTTCTTAGGCTCCCATCAGCTCTTCTTGTTAGTTCCACATCAAGAAACGGAATTTTTGACTCGTTTTCCATTTCAAGAGTGAATTTTATTGCTGGATGGCAACAGTTAAATGTCTTCAGCAGTAGATTGGGGTCATTGTTGTTGTCACAAATAATGAAAATGTCGTCCACGTATCTTTTATACAGTCGCAAATTGTCAATGCTCGGCTTTAGTGAACCTCTCTCGAGGCTTGCCACGAAGCAATCTGATAGTAGTGGACCCAACG